TTGTGTTTAGTTTTAAGACATACAAAATAAAATCAAAAACAGTCCACTTTTGTGTCCATTATTATCTAACAACTTCCTTGTTTGTGTATTCAGGCAGCATAAATCGCCTCACAAACGATCCTGAAACGTTTTTAAATGAATCTGAGCCAGTGAACGCGGAGGGCACAGCGTGAACTTCCACTGCCAGGCGGTCTCAGGTGTGCGGTCAGCGCTTATTATAAACCCACCGATGCGCATCGCAGCCAATCAGCGGGGAGAAAATGGGTTTTTCCAACGCGCCAGTTGACTGAAACCGCCACTAGATGGAGCTGATGCACTGCGGTCAGCGGCTTCTCTCCCTCTCCCTCTCCTCCTCCTCCCCTCCTGGTCCCTGGGCACCGCTGCGGCCCCCGATGGAGCCAGCGGATTACAAACTCCAGTTAAGTGGCGCACCGTTCTCCTCCTCCCCATCTTTCACCCAGAGTCAACCCAGGCGTGCGGAGCTTCACCGGATTTTTCCTTCTCCTTCTTCTTCTTCTTCTTAGAGAAAGCAGCTCTGTCTGACTGCCGGCGCCAAAAGCGATCGAGCTCTGCGGTGTTAACAGGGGGGGATTGTACAGTGGTGGTGGTGGGGGGGGAGACATATAGAGAAAAAGACAGTGAGATGGGTCCGGAGGCGGTGAGCTATTCGTGATTGGCAAGTCAACGGCGGCGAAGTTGCTCCGGATCTTTTCTCTCCAGGTCGTTGAGGTGAGTTTTATCTCTGCAGGAGATCGGAGCATCCTGGATGGTGCATGTCTTCCCCGATGATGCTGATGGTGTTACTAATATGTGCCCCTGGTTTGCAATTGAAGCTTCTTGATTATTGCTTTACAGCTGACTTTGTGCATGCATTACTTATTAGAGTTAAAAAAAAAAAAAGGCTGCCAGTTTTATTCCCAAGATGTTCGTGTGTAGACATCCACAGGGACTTGAGTTACTGCCCCTGAATAACTGGGAAACACAGTGTGGCTACTCCTAGAGAGCCTGATGTTATTCTCCTGGAGTGCAATAAGACAAGATAAGCTCCTTCCAGAGAGGAAGATCCACCTCATTCTCTGTCCCTTTTTTTTTTTTTTTTCCCTCCCTTCTCCTTCATTATTTCTCACTTGCCTGCCTTTCTACAGTTCTTCTTCTCACTCCAGCTCTCTAATCCCCCCTCTCTGTCTCTCTTTCTCACAATATCCCTCACTCCTCTCCGGTTCATATGTCAACTCTAATAACACTGTAAGTTTGCAGCACTTGGCTGGCTCACTTTGGATATTCCTCTTGTTTCTCAGCCTTGTGCTGCCGGTCTGAGCATTTCGCTGTCAGCAGCCATTACTAACATTCCCTATGTGGTCCGCCACATGCACTCTTTAGTGCAAGCGGCTGAATGACAATGCTGATAATCAATATGTGACCGAGCAATTATAGTGCACTTGAGTGTCAGGCACCTTCCTGTGACTAAATCGTTAATGCCACGTCTGTCACAGTCACTCGACACGAGTGAAGGTGAACGTGTGCACATGTGTACGCGTGCACACAAAGTCAAGGGTCACGGCAATCCAGTGATTGTCACAGTGTTGAGAGTGAAGAGCCGTGGAGGGATTTTTGACACTCGACAATCAATCGCTGCTGTTCTGTTTGTTTATGTCTGAGTTATGGGAATAAAGCTTCTGCAGTTCTGCTTCTGTTTGAAATATTTTGTTTGAAATATGTGCTTAAAAAATATCGACATCTAGTCAGGATGCCGACACAACACACAGCACAGCGCGTAAATGTCAAGAAATTCACCCAGTTGTCAACTTTGGCAAAGCTACCCCAAGATCTTGTGACGAATGGAGAAATTAATTGTCACCTCTGGCGATGTGCAGCACATGTGACAGCTGATGCTTTGTTGTACTGTAAAGGCAGATTCTGCACACCGCTTTTATATACAGTAGCTCTGGCTGCAGAAATCATCCCCCCTCATCCACCCACCCGCCCCTCCTCCGTCACTATCAGTGTCATCTGCTGTCAACCGGAACAGACAGGCATCTGCTGCTGCTTCCCGCACACACACACACACACACACACACACTCACACACTCATGCAGAAATGTACCACCACGCACAGGGGCACATACAACCGGCTACACAGCGCTCACGCACAGGTCTGTTGTATGTCAGGGACCTGCCCTGTGGCTCCGTCCACGTCCGTTAGTCTGTATACAGCCTCATTCGCTGTGCTTAGCTAAAAATAATCGCCAACACACACATAGAACATGAATTATGAAAGACAGAAGGAGAGAGAGGAAGAGAGAGAGACATTCAGGTCAGAGTCAGACCCAATTCCAAGAGCTTCTCTCCCCGAGGATGATACTTCTAGACCATTGCATTAATATTCAGTTTGTACCATCCAGCACATAATGGTGATCCCTTAGTTTGGGCTAACTGGACCTGAAGCCACCCAGAGGTTAAGCTCGGAGCTTTATGCACATAATGGTCTGGGAAATTGAATCTGTGCATTTTGAGATTAATTATGCATGTTGTGCAGTGTTTCTAATGTGGCTAATTGTGATTAATTTACAGCTGGGGTTAAGTAATAGTGAGCTTTTTAACCGGCTTTAGCCGTCGTGGCCTCTGAATAAAGTGCTGGTGTTGCTGCATTGCATTATTAAGTGCACTATTTTTTACTTGAAGGAAATAGTTCAGCATGTCGGGAAATGCTTTTCGTGCCCAGAAGGTTGATACCACCCTCATGTCCCTGTCCCTAGTCTGGCTCCATCCAATAATTAAAAAAATATCCTGTCATGTTGCATGATTTAAGAAATTTGATGTAGCACAGCAATTCGTGAACCTTAGACTTGTTGGTTGGCCGATTTGGTCGCCTTTGGGTACAGCGAGGTTTCCCCTCTGACTCTGTATTGCCGAGCTTCGTGCTTCGTTTCATGCCTCCTGGCTGCAGCTTGGTGTTTGACAGGAAAAGAAAATGAAAGCGGTATCAATCTTCATCATCATCCGACCCCATACGACAAACAAACAAACTGTTATTTCCCAATATTTTCAGCTATAAACCTACACTTTCTTATGCTGTGAGCTCAGGAGTACTTTACAGAATCATAAACGCTTGAACAGGTGCAAAAAAAAAAAAAGCTAGCAGGAGAATGAAGAGTGTCAAGCTGAGTGTGCACACGCCCACACAGTCCCGAGAAGAGGCCTTATTAAGCAGAATAATTGAAAACACCTGCGTCGGCGGTTGATGGATGTGTGGAGTTATCCCGTGTAACCCATTAAAGATCAACCTCATGTGTACGTGATATTGACTGTTAGTTCTATGTGCAAACACTCCTGAGAGATGCTTTGCCTTGATGTATATTAAAGTTTGATCTAGTTTATTACTTGGTGGAGTTTGCTCTGTCTTTGATAGTGTTGGAATACAAGAACTCCCAGCTTGAATAAATGAAAAACAGCAGATAAAACTTGGTGTCTTAGTCAGCAGTTTGGCCACCACGGATTGTCAGAACCGCTTCAGTGCTCTTCGGCATTGATTCTCCAACTCTCTGGACCGAAGGGATGAGCACCATTCTTTCGAAAGATATTCCCTCATTAGGCATTTCGATGATGGTGTTGGAGAGCGATGTCTGTCCAAAATCTCTCATAGGTGTTACGATCAGGTGACCCTTCAGGCCATTATTTTCATACTCATCAGCGACCCCTCACGCCCCTCGGTTTGGATGTTGTTATTCTGGCGGAGAAGACTCCCATCAAGACGTTTCATCTCAGGATGATTGTGTTCAGTCAGAACAGTATTGATTTACAGTAACTCCTCCCTACTAAGGAGCTTCAAACCTTGCCAGTAAAAAAAAAAAAAGCCTGGCAATCCTCTCACTGTCGAGATCGAGGATTCAAGCCTGCGCTGTTCTCAAAATGATAAAGGATGACTCATCTGACTGTGTCACCGCTGAAACCTCAAATGTGCATTTATCTTTGGAATGAGGTGTTTATGCAGCGTAATCCCACTATAGCATACCAAATAATATCACTGTGTAAATGTTGAATACATCCTCCACTGTCAGTCACCTGAGGAGGAGCTGCTCTTCTGCTTTTCCCCACACGAACGCACAAACATTCATCAAACGACCGCCGGTTCCCGACCTTATTTACTGATCTCTTTCCCGTGGATGCGAACACAGATGTCGCTTTAGTCATTGTGCTTATTGAAACAGCAGCCAGTTGAGCTTCGTGACTGAAGCTCCTGCCGTCCCGCGCCTCAACAGTCAACCCTCTTTCAAAGCCGCTTAGATCTTCCCCTCTTGTCATCATGAAACAAAATCAGATCAAACTGGACCTGCTCTGCATTTTTTATGTGGATATTTCACAGAGCGTGATTGGCCGTTGATTGCATAATTGCACCGTGCAGGGGCACCTCTGTGGAAGCATCTGTTTCTTTACTCATTTATCCTTCCTTTTAATTTTGTCACCCATATGTATGTTTAAATATTTTATCAAGATAATGTGTCACATCCTTAACAATTCATTCCACAGTATCATGGGGGGGAAAAAAAAAAAAAATCTGTGTCGCAGCGATTAAGAGGCTCGACAATATTCTATTTAGGGACTGTGAACATTATACACCCTGTGGAAACCTGAGGAGAAACCCGGCGATATGTTCTGGTTACTCAGCAGAGCTCGTATGTGTGTGTGTGTGTGTGCACGCATGTGTGTGTGTGTTTGCAGGCGCTCCTTTGTGCTGATTTGTGGACGTTATGCATCCATGTATGTAAGCGTTAACACATGTAGGTGCACGGTTGTGGGTGTTCGTGCTCACGCCTCACACTACATGTGTATCTGTGTGCAATTGTGGACCTTGTGTGATATTAAGTGGCTTCAGAGTCCTGACCTTGAACAGTTTGAGCGCTGTGTGCTTAGTCAGGGCCACTGCATCTGCTCCTGTCAAGACAAACAACAGATAAACTGCAGTGCACGGGATTTTTAATCTATCTATCTATCCATCTATCCATCTATCCATCTATCCATCTATCTATCTATCTATCTATCTATCCATCCGTCCATCCGTCCATCCGTCTATCTATCTATCCATCTATCCATCTATCCATCTATCTATCTATCTATCTATCTATCTATCTATCTATCTATCTATCCATCCATCCATCTATCCATCTATCTATCTACCTACCTACCTACCTACCTACCTTATCTTTTCTTCTCCTTCTCTTTTTCCAGTGTGCGATTGTGTGTCCAGCATGAGTAACATCTACGAGTCTGCAGAGGCCACGCTGGGCTTCATCAGCTCTCCATGCCTGACCAAAGTGGAGCTGAGAGTGGCGTGCCGGGGGATCGCGGATCGTGACGCCCTGTCCAAACCTGACCCGTGCGTGGTGCTGAAGATGCAGTCGCACGGCCAGTGGTTTGAGGTACGGTACCAGGGTGGGATGGAGGGGGGAGGGAATAGTAAATGTGTTTCCAGCTCAGCCAGAGTGATCAGTCGTTGTCTTTTCTCATAGCACCGATTCGCCGTGTGAGTCAACGCGTGCTGTATGTGGACGCATCGATGCCTTAAACTGATTTACATTGATTTGGAGTCTAAACGATTTATCTTCGATTTTTGCTTCTACTACAACTTCCATCCAATCCTCGCTGTGATTTCAGAGAAAAAGAGATGTGTTTGAGGTGACTTTATCGATGCCATTCAAAGTTATTTTCATACTCCACAACTATTTGTCCATGACCCGATGTACCAGTCAGATTGGGAACATGCAGCGAGCGTCTCCGTCTTCTTTTCATGTTCTGCTGCAAATGAATCTTTGTAACTTCTCTGCAGACAGCACTTGAAATTCTTCAAGCATGTCATTGAATTCATGTTTGACTAAATGATTGTGTGTAATCAAGGACCTGAGCTCTCATGCAGAGCTGTGATTGTGTCGCCAACCTTCTCATAGTGGATTACGGCTTATGTTTGGTTCTTATAAATTATGGAAGTGCTATTGTCAGTGGAACAATTTATTTGGAGCCTTTTTTTTTTTAGCCTTTGTTTTATGGTGGCAGTAGAATGAAAAAGTGGATGTGGGGACGAGAGGAGTGGAATTACATGAAGCAACTGGTCCCCATCTGAGAGCCGAGCCAGAGGTTTGCTATTCAATTTGCGGCTAGGTGGGATGTGCTCGAAGCGTTCTGCTACTGGGTCAGCACAGAAATCACAACTTTTGTAGACTGGTGTAAATATTATTTTCTATCCTAAAGCTCTTGACACTGAAAGTTTGTTCATTTAAAAAAATACAATTTAAAAATGGGATATTGTAACATTAAAAAAAACAGTGCTAATAATGGTAAATAGTTGTAAATAATTCCAAATAATAATCACAATAATACTAAATAAAAATACAGATGATGACGACAGTATGTGCAGATTTCTTTTCCAGTTAACACGTAAATTAATACTTTTTCCTGCCATTTTACTAGATATCATCTGTAATTTAACAAAACAGGGAAAATTTTTTTATTTAAAGAAAGTACCTTTTTAATCTGTTAATTTAATCTTTAATGTAAATAATCTTTCTTTCAAATAACAGCAAATATCTGTGAATACAGTAAAAATAATGTAATCTTACCATTAAATGTAAGAAAACTAATTATCTTGTATAAAAATATTGATTTTTCGTGTGGACATTATGTACAGTTTGTTTGTTTTGTTTTGTTTGCAGTTAACATGTCATTTAATATTTTTTTTTGTCTGTGATTTCTTTTTTTTTTTTAGATGTTATCTGTAATTCAACAAAACAGAAAATCTATAAAATAACTTTAAAAAAAAACAAACAATTTCAGTCCTTAATTTAGCTTCTTTTTATTCGAACTAAAGCAAGTATCTGTAAAAATAATAATGATGTTTTTTGCTGATTTAACTCCAGTAAAAGTTGTGTAACTTTATGGTCAAATGTTATATTGGAACAAACAAAATACAGAATTTTGATGTGGTTTTCGTACTAATAACAAGTGAATTGAAACTTTTTTAATTGAACAAAACAGGGAAAATCTGTCAAGTAGCAGTAAGCAATTGTTTTTGAAAAAATTACATTTGAAAATAATTTTTTTTAAACTTTAATTTTTTACAGTGTAGCTCTCAAAACAACTTGTCTTCCCCAATCATTGTATGCTGTAAATAAGGAGAGCACTGAACTATATTCAAGGATTCAAGGAACATTTTATTGTCATACCAGCTCACACTTACATGTCTGTGGTACGAAATTCGTACTCGGGTCCCTTTTTTTTTTTTTTTTTAAAAGCCTAATAAATAATAAGTACAATAGCAACATATAAGTAAAAATACAAGCAAAGTAAAAATATAAGCAAATAAGTGAACTCTAGTAAAATGTAAACATTAAGTAGAAAAGCCATAACTAGCTGTGTAACACTAAATAGTTGTGTAGACAGCGAGGTAGATTGTGTATTGCACTTAATGAGAATATTGCACATTGGTTGAAATATTGCACATATACATTTTCCTGCCATTAAGGGTCTTTTTTATTGGGCTCATTTTACACTGAAAAGGTCTCAAATACACATAGACGACACCCTCCTAGAACACAGCGGTGCGGTGGTTGCTGTAGTCGGTGTATCTCCGTGGATTCTCTCTGGCCACTCTGGCCTCTTCCCACAGTCCAAAGAAACGTGTGGTAGGTTAATCGATGAGTCTAAATGACCTGTGACTGTGACTGTGCAGCCTGCCTATCATCCCCAGTCAGCTGTGATGGGATCCAAGCTTCACAGGATGAAGGAGCTATAGCTGACGGATGGATCCTCCTTCAACAGATTGTTTAGGACATAAAAATGGAGAACTGGTGTTGTTTACCTTCCTCTTCCACTGCCTGCAAGATCCAGCTTCTCTTTCAGGGCTTTCAAATGGAATCTCCTACTCTACAAAACCTTCTCCCCCTCCCCTGTTGAAGCGTCTACAGTGGCGCCAACGTACACTATCTGAACTGTGTAAGAGCGAGAAGATAAACTGATTTTAGTAGGAAGGGGACCCTCATTTATTTTCCTTTCTCTTTCCTGTGTTTCTAGGACAGACAGACGTATACTGAGTGCACTGTCTTCCTTTTAAATATGTAGATACACACCCACGCATCCATCCTCGCACATACAGCGCTACAGTGACCCACACAACAGATGTACGTACACGCCTGTAGATCTGCACATGAAAGCTACCACACACACACACACACACACACACATAGACATGTTGCATTTCCACAGGGGCTCAAGATAAAGTGCCCAGAAAATAGTGCAGTATTATTCTCTCTTTGGAGACACCACAAAAAGCTACTTTGGGTGTGTTTGTGTGTCAGAGGGAGAATTTTTGAGTATGTGTTACGATAAGCCTCTTTGTGGGAGTGTGGGAATGGACAAATGTTATCGCTGCCCATCAGATCCAGAGTCTCCTAATTGGATAATTGTTGAGAGAGAGTGTTCAAGCCGCTGGGTGAGTGTGTTTATGTGTTCCCCGCTCCTTTTTTTTTTCTCCTGCTTTAATGAGTTTCCAGCCTATTGAGGTAAGTGTCAGAAATAGGCCATAATTTGTGTGTATGTCGAGTCTGCTGGTGCGCTATTCACTTCTGCCTCTCTTTCTCAATGTGCCAAAGGGTTATCGACGATAAAAGGGACCCAGTCGTTGCTGCTGGCGTGGGATAGGTTGAGCCCGTTCTAATCCTTTCTGTGTCAGGCAGTTAGAGAGAAGGAAAAAAAACAAAAAACGTGAGATCAATGCTGCGGCTACAGTTGGAATCTCTGTGTAGTCAAACAGCTTTTGCATGATTTTTAGCCATCAAGAAAAAAAAAAAAATCAATGCTCACAGTGCTCAAGTTGATAAGTGTAAACAATGTGGTAATGGCTATTTGCGGGTAATTGCTGCGATGCTGAAAAGTCTGCCGAGGCTCACAAATCAATGCTCAGCGTGTTGGATGTTGAATGAGGTTTTCATACTTGGGGCCACTTTTGAAAGACCACAAAAAAAGTCAATCTGAAGTGAAGCTGCCAATAATAAAACAGCCTTGTGAAACATTTTGTGTACTACAGACTTTACATATATTTTCTGTATAGCAAAACATTAATATGAAAAGAAATTTGTTATGGGATGTTTTGATCAATCAGTTTATCTATATACTCTTTATGTACTCATACAGACACATATTTATATAGAGAGAGACACAGAATGTCATGTTTTTAATGTTATATGTGTTGTATATGTATGTATTCACACATCTGTATTTAACATTCATGAAAAATAATAACTCTACATATTAAAAATTTGAATTATTCATTAAGTTTTAATTGGATTGCATTTCATTTTAAAAGAGAAACGAATGTCTGAATTCAGAAACCAGCTTTAAAATGCCAGTTAACACCAAAGAAATCAAAGGGGGGTTTATTTTTCTGTTTCATTTACTTTTCAATTCTAGTGTCATCCTATGTAGCCTTCAGGGTTGTTGGTGTGGCAAAAATGTTGCCAAATATCCTGGGGATGTACACAATAAAACCATCTTGTGGGCGTGTTCCGCAGTATGTCTAAGGCAAACATTTTCTAATATCAATTGTTCATCTTTAGAAAGTTTCTGAGAAAATCAGTGCCACCAGAAAGTGAGCTTTGTGGGGTTTCAGATGCTAAAAGTGCATTGATCAGAGGGTTAACGTGGAGTTTTTTTCTGTGTGTGTCCATGCTAACCTGCTGTCTCCATGTGGATGCATGTGTGTGTTTTTTGCAGGTGGACCGTACAGAGGTGATCCGCAGCAGCAGCAGCCCGGTCTTCTCCAAGATTTTCTTGGTGGATTACTACTTTGAGGAGGTCCAGAGGCTCCGCTTTGAACTTCACGACATCAGCTCTGGCAACAATGGCCTCCGCGATGCAGACTTCCTGGGAGCCATGGAGTGTACCTTAGGACAGGTCAGTGTGTCCTCTGACTCGGTGGGAAGAAGACTGGTGTGGCAGACGAGTGCAAACGTAGTTGAAAAATAATATAGCAACACTTCTCGAGCTTTTATGGACACTGGCTATAACCGGACCCTTTTGGTTCACTTACTGTCTCCATCCACTTTATACTGTTTATCAAACAGACGTCTCCTATAAGTCAGGCTTATATGAGCGAATGTGAAGCAGCATATTAGGTACAGTCGTCCTCAAATGTATTCATACCCTCCCATTAAAGAAGGAAAAAAAAACAGCTGTCACTGAAATAAGCTGAAACTGACAAAAGTTATGATAAATAAAAATTTAATGAGCAGCTGTGGCTCAGGTGGTAGAGCGGGTTGTCCTCCAGTCGCAAGGTTGGTGGTTCGATCCCTCGTCCCTCCACAGTCCAAGTGTCCTTGGGCCAGACACTGAACCCGAATTTGCTCCCAATGGTAGGCAGCACCTTGCATGGCAGCGCTGTCACCACTGGTGTATGAATGTGTGTGAATCATTCACCATTTACCATTACTATTTAGTGAAACTCATGACATTGCTTTTGAATTATGGTTCAACAGAAATATATTTTAAAAAAACAACAAAAAAAAAAGCATGATGGGACCCGTAAACTAATATTTTGCTGAACAACCCTTTGAGCCAATCACTGCAATCAAGTGTTTTCTGTAACTCTCAGTCAGACTTCTGCACCTGTTGACAGCTATTTTGGCCTATTGCTCATCAGCAAAGTGCTCTAATTTGTCTGGGACAGTTTTTAAATTTTATTTTTAAATTATTCTTTTTAACCACAATTCAAAAGCAACATCCTATTTCACTAAATTATAATTTAACAAATTTTTATTTATTATTACTTTTTTCAGTTTCTAGCTATTTGAGGGACTATTGTGAATTTTTCTGTAATGGAAAGGGATGAATAAATTTGAAGACAACTGTAGGTCACTGCATGAGCTGAACGGTGCACGTAGACGTTCATACATAGTGCCCATCTTGAACAGAGGCTGTGAGTTCAACATCAGAACCAGAAATGATGTGCGCCTTCTTCCAGCAGAGAACAGGATTGCATTTATGTGCACCAGTGAGCGCACTTACAGTTGCTGGTTAGAGCTAGCAAGTGGGTTTCACAGCTATGCATGCTTGAATGCAGAGCTTTGAGGTTAAGAACTATAGACTGGAGTATATAATCCGATGTAAAGTTCACTGAGCATGTCGGGATGTTAAACGTATGTATCAGGTAATGTGTACTTTAATTAGGGTGAGAGGCCAACTTCAGCCGCGGATGGAATCCTAATGTGATCTTTCTCGCTTGAGGTCGGCTGCTGTCGCTATCTGCATCTCCTCACGCCGTGTTTTCGATGTCCTTGGCTTACATAAAACCCTGAGGGTGCTTGAAACTGTTCTCAAAGAATTTATATGTGCTAAACTATATAGCCTCTCCTAATTACACCCTCAGTGATGTTGTTGTAATCAATATTTAAAAGCCGTGCTTTATTTGCATCCTTCACATAATATCCTAGAGCATTGCAAAAGAAAATTTGGTGTTGCAGCAGCACTCATTAACAAGTCGAATATGTTGATTTCAGGAAGTTACCATAAAATGTGATATTGAATGGTGGGAAATACAAAGCAAGGACAGCAGCTCTGAGGTCCAGTCTGCTGCGCGGGCGAGTGAAGTGTTTGCTTTCACTTATAATTGTCAGAGACGCCGTCAGCTACAAAGCTGGTGGATTTACAATAGTTGGTAGAACTGAGATAAATGACATAAAAGAGGATTTTGAAGGCAACAGAGGCTTACTGATCCGAATGTTTCTGTCTGGGTATGAGCGGCAGCATTGTGGATACTACTGTGTTTATGCTGCATCCAGAGTTTTGTTCGGAAAACGACAACATTATATGATAGTAGTATGACACAGACAACAGAAAGTTTACAATAACTTGTGGCATTCTGGTGTTGTTTTTCATATTCTGTGTACAGTGGAAGCCCCCATGAGTTTCTGTTGCTGTAACGGGAACATTTACGCAGTGGAAAGCTTCCCAGAGACGCATTGTGTCAGTAATGTTGTTGCAAATTGCATGTAATCAGTTTTCCAAGGCATGTTGTCAGACTTAAAGCTGCTATAGCAAATCTTTTTTACATTAACAATAGTCAGTAGACAATGAATCATTGGTGGTGCAGCTGCAGGCGGTTGTATTTCCAGCAAAAGGGCTATTAAAATGCACCTGGGTGGCCATCAGCAAACAGCAGACAGATGAATTTATCAACTTCAACACTGAAAGAAAGAGTTTTTGGAGTTTAAAGAAGATCCAAAGGGGAGGATAGTTATATTCTCCTAGGTGGACATGAACACAACTCCAAATAAAAAGTTCTTCCGTACGTGTTTAATGTGTAAATAGGCGAGCGATGACCACAAGTGATATCAGATGTCATCTACTGGCCCTTAAGAGCTTTAAAAAAAACATTATTCATTAATTAAATATTTAAATAAAGTTGTAAACAAACATTTCCTTGAATGTCCATGCAATTAGATTTTATGCTCATATAAAATATAAGTCTGCACAAGTTAATCTGCATTTTAAAACTAAACACAAAAGCAGACTCAGATTTGTGAAATCTATTTAATTTCATGCAGGATTTCAGTCACAAAAAAGTAAAAAAATAACACATTTGTGTGTAGCCCTTTCAGTAATGAGTCCCCAATGCAAAATAAATAAATAAATAAAATAACCACCAAGTGTGTCTTTGAATATTGACGCTGAATGTGAGATCATTGTTGTAGATCCCACTGAGAATCAACACGTCACTCTGCAGCTGTTTGTTTAGTTCTTAGGCCACAAACACGGATTGTTTTCAAGACATCGGTTACGGATTTTTTTTGGAGAATTAAAGAAGAAAATCCCAATTTTGAACAACACTCCTGTCCGTCTTGACCCGAGCTGCTTCTGCTGCTTGCTGTTTCACTCGGCGTGCGTCTCGCTGACCTCCCCGATGTAAACCCTTCAGCAGTCTCACCGACCGCTGAAGGCTCCTGTACGGCACCAGCCCGGAACTAAATGGTTATACGCCGAGACAGCCTCGGATTTCTCAGGAGCTGGCGGATCAAAACAGTAACGCCAAGCCAGAAGAAAATTTCATTTGACAGTTTAGTGAGAAAGGTGACTCCACCACGCTGCTTTGTGTCTGCTGGATGTCTAAGTTGGTGGTTGTATTATGACATTAAGGAGCAGTGCTAACCTCTGAGGGGAAAAGTGGAAGATGTGATCTGATTTTTGAAAAAAGAAATCTGTTGTTTCCGTCTCTGCTTGTTTCAGATCGTCTCTCAGAGGAAGCTGACCAAAGCTCTGCTCAAGCAGGGAAACACTGCTGGAAAGTCTTCCATAATGGTACGGCAACAGATTCCAAAGTCAGCCCACCTCGGCTACACAAACCCTGAACGCTGGCACGAATCACACACACGCACACCAACATCTTGCACTCAGACACTCTGACGATAATTAATTTGATGATGTTGCCCGCTCAATCTGTTCTGTTCCTCATTTCCATCTCATTTTCTCTCACCTCCTTCTCATACCTCCTCTTTCTCTCTGTCTCTCTCCGTACAGGTGACAGCAGAGGAGCTGTCGGGTAATGACGATTACGTCGAACTCTCGTTCAGCGCTCGTAAGCTCGACGACAAGGTTTGCGCCATTGTGTGTTCACTTTGGGGAAGGAAAAAGCTGTCGAAATAGTTTGTGCGTGCATGCTGTTAGGCAGATGTTTGTGTGGTGAAGTCTAGGGCTGTGGGAATTGATGCCGAAGCAACTCACACAATGCACAGAAGTACAATCTGGCATTAGAGGAGGCCTGCTGAGATAGGTGGGTACCCCTCCTCCTCAATAACCCCCTTTTATCTCACCAACCTCACCAAACACACACACACAGATAACTATATTAATTTTCAGCCTCCACGCACACACACACACACTCACAGCCACGGATGACTAATCCAAACAAGTTGCGCCCAAGGGGGAAAGATGGAAGAAAGCACGGGAGGGGTGGTTAAATTGGAAAGGACAGGAAAGGGATGGATGGGAGAAACAAGGGGGGGAAAAAGGGAGGAAAAAGGGGGCTTGAAATAATGATTCTGTTAGTGTATGAATGATTTATGGTGATCAAAGGCAGTTCTAAGGGAATGCCTCACATGCGTGTTTTCTCTCTGAAGGATTTTTTCAGCAAGTCAGACCCTTTCCTGGAGATCTTTAGACTAAATGATGATGGGACCGAGTCGCTGGTGCACAGAACTGAGGTAATTACATACAAGTATATAGATGTAGGCGACTAATTCGGAGCTGTGATTAATGATAAGTGTGATGTTTTGTGTGTGTGTGTGTGTGTGTGTGCACAGACGGTCATGAATAACCTGAGTCCAGTTTGGAAATCCTTCAAAGTTTCCTTGAACACGCTCTGCAGCGGAGACCACGACAGGGAGCTAAAGGTGAGTGCGCAAATGGATGCGTTTCAGCAAAGTAACGGAAACGTCTTTTGATTTATCATTAAACACAATCCGCACCAACGTGAGCGCGAGAAAAACCTTGGCCACAGCTCGGTTCATTATTTAAAAGCTCATTTAAAGCACCAAGGCCAAACAACACCTGAATGAATGCAGGTGTTTATTTCCACAATGTTTCACCTCATCAAAACACGAGCAAAGTGCCACATATACGCGCGGGTAGTGAGCTGAATAAAATGTCGTGAGCAAGTCAGAAAGCTGTCTTTATTCGGGGAGTTCAGTTCGGGTCACGTTCTGCGTCTCATTGTGTTATTTAAAGAGACGGAGGGGTGCGAAAGATCTCAGCGGTCATCTTCAACTCTCACCTTTAACTCGCCAGAATAGATCGACGCGCGTTTTGTGTGAAGCGGTGTCCGCACATCAGCTGCGAACAAGCTATTCCGGCCATGAATAAACATAAGCTTGTTCATTAAATATTCAGAGGCATCTTAACTCCGCATGGCTCCTGACAGCAGGAGAAAGGGCTCACACAACTCACAAACCCCGCATGCACGCCATCGGCTATGGTTTCCAGGGCTACCTGTTTGAAGCATCAGAGCTATAGCGCGAAATGGCAAGGCAGAGATTTCTATTCAGACCCGTGCTTTCTTTTCACCAGGGCTCTAAACTGGACCAATGCATAAATTCATAACCCTCCTCTGCCGTCTCTTCCTTTGTACTCCTCCTTTAGCCCCCCCCCTGTTCTCTCCACCTCTCCACTTTTCTTTCCGCCCCTCCGTCGGCGTCTTCCGCCAAACAGTTAGTATTCAGTGAATGGAACAGGGGCTCTTCATTTTTTCATTACTCTCCAGCACAGCTCTTAGCAACTTCAAGTGGAAGCGAGGCTGCAAAAAAAGCAAGCGCTCGCTCCCCCAGCGTCCAAAAATTACCGTCAAAAAAACAACAAACGCGCGTATAATCCGCAGATGATGTGTGCGCAAACGGCACGCGCGCTCTCGCTGCAGCAGCTCAAGTGGGAGACGGGAAATAAGGGGATTATTGCTGGTCGTTGTTTCTAATCAAGCCTTGTTGAATTGGTTGTGATCGCTAGTTGCTGGGGTGACCTTAAGGCGAGAAGGTCACAAAGCTCTACAGCTAAATGACAGATTTTTTTTCTCCCCCGCGGGCGTCAAACACACTTTATTGAATATTATTGATTGTCGGACAGCCAAGATATTGTTGCCTTTTGTCACCTTTGGAAATTATAGGATTGTTTCTTTATGATGCGCTGAGCCTTGGCCCGCTGACCCTCGCTTGATTGAGGTCATTTATCTCGTCTAGCAGCTCCTCCGAGAGAAACAAACGACCAAACACGGACGCGCGCACACACACATATAAAGCTGTCTCTTAAGCTGCGTCCCTCTCAGCATCCAAAGATTAATATTTCACCGCTCCATTGCCCCCCCACCAACGCCGCCTTATCAATCATTCAGCATGGCATTTCCCTGCATGCCTGCCAGTGCATGTGTGTGTGTGTTTAGCGTTGCAGCTGGGCTCAGGCTGAACCCCATGTGTTTATGTTCCAGTGCACGGTCTGGGACTGGGACTCCAACGGAAAGCACGACTTTATTGGGGAGTTTCAGACCACGTTTAAGGAGATGAGGGCAGAGCAGGAGGGCAAACAGGTGAGACAATCAGATGAAAGGAAACACTCTGATCCATTTTTATAAACATATGCTAAACATTCTCCTACATTCTTTGGGGAGGCGTTTTTGTAAAAGCATCTTTTTGGTGCTGTGCATATAATCAGGCATACTTCTTTACTCCCTCTACACAGCCACTAACATCATTTTTGTGTGTGTGCTTGCAGATCCAGTGGGAATGCATCAACCCTAAATATCAGATAAAGAAGAAAAATTACAGGAACTCTGGCACTGTCATTCTCAACCACTGTAAGGTGATGTAACACGATATCATATCCTTGTATTTGCTGCAATCTACCTTTGTTTGTGGCTATTTTTCTGTGCTGTCTGCAACAAAATGATTATTCTCGGTTTTAATTTGCCAGCTAATTGTTTAGTTGATTAATTGTTTAACCCTCTGAACCCCGAAACAGTTTAGCTTCTGTCGTATTTTTGCTCGCAGCGGGCTCATTTTTCACCATAATATAAAGTCCTGCACCTCTATGGAAACAGCACAACCATGGCGAGAAGCAGGCAGAGCTTAAAAATGTCTGTTGTGCAATATAACACTGTTATAAGGCCATAAATCAAAAAGAATGGAAAATTGAATTTCTTAGATTTTTTTATTATTGAAAAACTGGAATCAACAGGTGTTCCCAATGCTGGAAAAATATTATACTACTTCCATTTTTAGTTTGTTTAATTACGTTTCTTCTGTCTAATTTGTTTAAACGCAGCTTGCGGTTCAGCTAGAAAGCCCCAGAGTTTTTGTAATTTAACTGTTGGTCACAGATGAGTCACTAATAGCTTCGTGACTGCGACGAGAAGCACAACATTGTTAATTTTCTACAGGATTTAGTTAATCCAGATGTCTATATTTGGTGAATTTTAAATAAAATGCGTACAATAAAGCAATTTTCATGACATATCACAATTTTAAGCTTCGATTTGGTTACGTTTTTTTTACAGATCGCGACACAGATGAGTAGTTCCACCACTGGAAAGCTGAAAATCTAATAACATTTTCTGTTTTTTACACTTTCTAGCTCTGATAAATAGCTCTGGAGATATTTTTCAAGATAACACCACTTTCAAACCAACAGGGATGTTTTGGGGGCGTTGAAAGGGTTAACCTTTAAAATGTCAGATAATAATGAAAGATTCCAAACACACTTTTCTTAGAGCTGAGGATTTGACCTTCACGTTGCAAATTTTGTCCAAACAGTTTTCATAAACCTAAAGATATTAAATCTGCAATGATATTAAACAGAGAAAAGAAGCAAATCCTCACACTGAGTAGCTTTTTTTTTTGGACCAGACAGCTAATCTTCTAATTATTTCAGTGATAATTTCAAGCATCGCCACACTCTGAATACAGTTATATTCAACCGCTAAAGCTTTTCTACCTTGGGAGGAGACTTATCCTTTCTGCTCAATGCACTAAAAGAATTTCCCGCTGATGTATAGATGTATATCTACATTTACACATGTACTTGTGTACAGTTGTCCCCAAATGTATTCATACCTTCCCATTAAAGAAGGAAAAAAACAGCTGTGATTGAAATAAGTTGAAATTGACAAAAGTAATAATGAATAAAAATTGTATGAAAATCGTGACATTGCTTTTGAATTGTGGTTCAACAGAAATATGAAAAATTATTTCTTTAAAAAAAAAACAAGCATGATAGGACCCATCCATCCATCATCTATACACCGCTTAATCCTCACTAGGGTCATGGGGGGGCTGGAGTCTATCCCAGCTGACTCAGGGTGAAGGCAGAGGACACCCTGGACAGGTCACCAGTCTATCACAGGGCTACACTTAGAGACAGACAACCAAGTACACTCACATTCACACCTACGGACATCAATTTAGAATCACCAATTAACCTCAGTATGTTTTTGGACTGTGGGAGGAAGCTGGAGAACCCGGAGCACAGGGAGAACATGCAAACTCCATGCAGAAAGATCCTGGGTGTCCTCACTGGGAAGCGAACCTGCGACCTTGCTGCGAGGCAACGGTGGTAACCACCGAGCCACCTCGCAGCCCATGATGGGACCTGTAAACTAATATTTTGTTGAACAACCCTTTGAGCCAATCACTGCAATCAAGTGTTTTCTGTAACTCTCAATCAGACTTCTGCACCTGTTGACAGCTATTCTGATTTTGGCCCACTGCTCATCAGCAAACTGCTCTAATTTGTCCAGGACAGTTTTTGTTTTTTTGTTTTTTTAATTATTCTTTTTAACCACAATTCAAAAACGATGCTTATTTCACTAAATTATAATTTAGCAAATTTTTGTTTATTATTACTTTTTTCAGTTTCTACTTATTTGAGTGACTATTGGGAATTTTGCCTTTTCTTTAATGGAAGGGTATGAATACATCTGAGGACTGTACATGTGATGATATGTGTCAGGGCATTAATGCATACGATGTCATTCATTCCTTGTATGTATGGGATCATTGCATTTCAAGCGAGAAGCGAGCATGGCACCAGTTGTGGAAGCACATCTCCCTCTGGGGCCGTGAAGACTGTCTATTTTTTTTTTTTTCAAATCGGCACAACAATTCATGACTTCAAACCTAAATTTAAACAATTTCTCCTGACAGATCATCAAAATGTATTCCTTCCTGGATTACATCATGGGGGGCTGCCAGATTCAATTCACAGTAAGCGCTCTCACACGCCGTATAATATCCTCAATGTTTACGTCAAGTACATCACCGCCTGCTCACACCCACTCACGCTGCGCGACTGCTCATGTTTCTGTCCCAGGTGGCAATAGACTTTACGGCTTCCAACGGGGATCCCAGAAACAGCTGCTCCCTCCACTACATCCACCCCTACCAGCCCAACGAGTACCTCAAAGCGCTGGTGGCTGTGGGGGAGATCTGCCAAGACTATGACAGGTGGGATCCACTCCATCAATCATCGTCCACATAACGCTGCCACACACACATTTCAACACATAGACACTCGCTTTTCCCTCTGAAGATCAAATGCCTTTGATTAGAGTCTCAAATTGAAGGAATTTCTATGTGATTATTATGTAAAAACTCTCTCATGCTCACATTATGCCCATTATTTGACCTTCCCTCTGTGCTTTTCTTCATGTTTTTTATTAAATCTCGCCTCTTTTTCTTGTCCTCCAGTGATAAAATGTTCCCTGCGTTCGGTTTTGGAGCTCTGATACCACCTGACTTTAAGGTAGGACATTTGAGATGTGTGTGTGTGTGTGTTTGTGCGGTAGCAGTCAAAGCTCTGGACGGTTTTAGATTTAGATTTTAGATGTCTTCTGGAGGCACAGCTTGCTTTTGATCAACATGAAAGGAGAATGCATCTGTCAACCTGTAAATTGGACTGAACGTGTTGTGCTGAGCGCTGGGTTTGTTGTGGCGGTAAAAGACTTCTGTGTTTTCTGCCCTGTCTGAAGGTTTCGCACGATTTCGCCGTGAACTTTGACGAGGACAATCCGGAATGTGCCGGTGAGCTGCGCGGGCTTCGCTTTGCTCACACACACACACAACAGACTCCACGGAAACTTTCACAATTCGTACATCACAGACCCACAACAGTCCTACAATATCACCGCTGCACGCCTCTCATCTCTTCCCTCGCTGTCAGTCCCATATTTCTCCGTCTATATCTGCAACCTCCCTCTGTTTCTTCCTATCACAAATACACACCGGCGTGCACACACACACACACACACACACATGCTTGCAGCTGGGAGATTTGTCACTATGCTGCAGGAAGTATTTCAGGCTCTAAGAAACAGAGAAAAACAACACTAATCTGTATGTGTGAAATGGGCTTCTTTGCTCTTCTCTGCACATAGCTGCTGTTCCTGCTGCGAAGGTGTGTGTGTGTGTGCGCGTGTGTGTGCAGCGCTTGTGTTGCACCGTAAGGGAATGGTTTCTGAAAAATGCCCAGTGACCTTCGAGTGCAATCACACGCGCAGAATCTGATTGATTTTAGCAGATACTTTTGCAAACGCAAGAACTTTGACTCTGCGAGGCCGCGCAGACGGGAAGATGAATGAACAAGCGGGCGGAAAAACCTGCCATTTGTACGTGTTTGTTGCAGGAATCCAAGGCGTGGTGGAGGCCTACCAGAATTGCCTCCCTAAGATCCAGCTGTACGGGCCCACCAACATCGCCCCAATCATCCAGAAAGTGGCCTCCTCCGCCTCCGAAGAGATGCACACCAAAGAGGCCATGGTGAGGGAGAGAATGAGAAAGAGGTTTATAATAAAAGGAAAAGGACTGAATCATTTTTTTGTTCCTGGTGCGAGTGTTGGTGTTTGCACTCGCGGCAGGCAGAGACTGAAAAGACAAATAGCAATGAAAAGACAGAAAAATGAGATATCAGAGGAGGTGAAAGATGAGCAGAAAGAGATGAACTGCAAAGAAAGGGAGGGGGCAGTGATTGATATTAATTTAATTCCACTCATAAATTGTAGCGCACAAATTCCTCTCTGCCTTAATGCCTTCCGCTTCTCTCTGGCTCTCTAGTGGATTAGAGTGAGTTTTATTCAAATTAGCCCCCGACGAGAAGACTTTTAAAACATAAATTTCATTGAACGTCTATTCCTACTCCCCCCCTCTCTGCTCTCTACTGCCCTTCACCTTTACCTGCCCCCACCAGGAATACTTCATCCTGCTGATCCTGACAGACGGCGTCATCACCGACATGGCCGACACACGGGAGGCCATCGTGCACGCCTCCCACCTCCCCATGTCCGTCATCATCGTGGGCGTGGGCAACGCCGACTTCACCGACATGCAGATACTGGATGGGGACGACGGGATCCTGCGTTCACCCAAGGGCGAGCCTGTCCTCCGTGACATCGTCCAGTTTGTCCCCTTCAAGGACTTCAAGCACGTAGGTGGTGGCCACAGTGGTGGTGGTGGTGGTGGTGGAGGATTTTTTTTTGCACTACATGCTGTTTTTCGGCTATTTTTGTACATCATGTGTTGCGACTCTTCCAGAGCTACAGGGGACTGCTACAGCTCTCTCAACAACATAAAAGAGCATAAGAAATGTAAGGAGTATTAGGAAATCTTACACCAGGGTTACAAATTATAAAAAAGGCTGCGAGTGTCATCAAATTATGATTTAGAACAGAGTTGACTTTACCCCGTTGGCCGGATCGGAACCCCCCCAGAAAAAATATCAAAACCAGATTTAGTCGGCTGCACCTGTTTTTCAATGTCAAACACTTAATTGATTTTAATGCAAGTAAAGGTAGCCGTTTAAAGAAGGTTGTAGATCTAAAATTGGGCCAAACAAACCTGCCTGGGATATCCCTTAATGTTAGCGCCCCAATGTGTAGACAAGCAACGACACCACAGCGACTGTGCCTTGTTCTGCACAGTGACTTAAAAACATAATCTGCTTCATTTACAAGAAAATGAATGCAAATGTAGCTTTAATGCCGTGGGTTTAGCCGTGGCCTACAGACACAAATTAGTGGCACTCGAACAGAAACAGCAGGCTGAAGACTTTTTTTAAGGCAACAACAACAGCAGCACTTTTATTCAAGTTTAAATGAAGCAGCACTGTTTTAGTCCTGCAACAGCAAACTTCTAAATCGTGATTATGAGTCATTTAATGCCAAATGAATATCAACATAAGCTCTATCTGCCTTTAAAATAAGCTGATAAATCTTAGGACTCAGTGTGTGTGTGTGTGTGTGTGTGTGTCAACTCCTTTCAGACATGCACTTATTTCTATTAATCTGACCGTAGCTGAACAACTTCATGTCTGATCGAACACCCCGCTCACTTTTCTGTAAAAGCTGCAATAAGCAATCTTTCTAGGTCAGATCTTGAACACTTCTCCACAGATTTTCGCCCTGCAAGTTCTGCTTTCAGAGCAGCACAAACCTGAATTCAAACAAATATGAGCACACAAGTGATTCAGAGGAAGCTTTTTCCACATTTTAGCACCAATATTGTCCCATATGAATCACAAAAAGACACATTTTGCTGCCACAGTCATAAAACACCCTTCTGATTCACTTTGCTCAACAAG